AGAGATAGAGATAGAGATAGAGATAGAGATAGAGATAGAGATAGAGATAGAGACATTTAACTTGTCTCAGTCAACTATTTTTCTTTTTTATGAAAGAGGAAAATATTTTGCCCACTTACTTTCTCCATCTACAGCAAGATGTAATTACAAAGGTACCATGTATACAAGCAAGGTCAAGAACACAGGTTTTGGGACCAGGGATCTGGGTCCGTATCCTGGCTCTAGCTACTTAGCTGATATGTGATATTGGGCAAGGGACTTGCCTGCTTTGAACCACAGTTCTGCATTTGTAAAGTTGTTGTGAGGAGAAAATAAGATAATGCAGGAAAAGTGCTTGGCATAGTGCCTGACACATGGTGAGTGCCCAAAAATGTGGACCACTATTAATATTACTGTTGCTAAAAAAGGATGGAGGGGATTGGGGACCCTGGCTTTCAAACAGGAGGCTGCCACAGGCTCATCCTTTGATGTTAGATTAATTATATTTCTGTAGATCATTTTTAAAAAGGCATTTGTCCTCTCTCCCCAGTGAACTATAATAGAGTTACAAAAGTCCACTGGTTAGAAGTTAACTTTGTGATATTCAAATGCCCTAAATGTTAATTATTCATTATAATGAACTCACTATTCACTATAATGAATAACTCTGGAAAACAATATTTCCTCCTTAAAATGCAGAAAAACATGCTTGTTTGAGATAATTGTTTAAATTTTCAATTATGTATGAATAACAGTTTTATATTTAGACAACTGTTCTATTATGGATTGATATTTTTATCCTTAAAAACCATAATATTTGAGAATTGAACTTGCAAACTGAGATTATGCCTGACTATGCTGAGGAGTATATGAGGGATAAAAAGACATGTTTTCATGGACTGTCAAATGAGTAACTCAGCAGACATTAATTTATCAGGATAATTCTGAAAGGGATAGTGTAAATGGCTAAGGATTTCATTCTGAGATATTCTTGCCCATCAAAATTGCAAACATCAAAAATGAAAAACACAGAGTTGAGTTTTCAGAGTTAAATACTTTTCTAGATTTTTTTAGTATCTGATATAAAATTACTCCACTATATGCATTCTCAAATAAATAATTCTATGAATAAAACATTCCTGAGTAAAATACTATCAGCAACAGAGACTCAGTTAACACTCCCTCTTCCCGAATGCTAGAGAACTGTGTGAAGGTGCTAAAGATATAAAGACAGAAAAGCCATTTTCTGGGGATCCAGGTTAGGTGTGATTCTAGAAAATGTCACAGACTCTGTGACTGGTGAGATGGAACTTCACTCTTCAAATTATGTCTATCAGAAAGGGTGCTGGTAATGGCTGGGATTTTGGAGCACGATATAGGGCTGAGTTGGGATGATCATCCTCCCCCTGCTGCTATGACTCCTCATTAGACCAGGGTGGCCGGGGACCCTGTGACATCATTTTCAACTGGCCTGGTCATCCCAGAGTCCCAGAGAGGTGTCTAATCCAGACAAACTTTTTTTCTTCTCTTTCCTGCCTCTTCGATTTTTAAGTTTTGATAATCTATTTTACACATTAGAAGGTTGAAAGAATAATAACTACCTGTGTACCCCCATCCAACTTAATGAAGACAGCACTGCACATATTAGTTATGACCCTCCAGGTAGCACCCCCCTCCCACTTGTATTCACTTCTTGCCCTTTCCAAAGGTAGTCATTGTCCTGCTTTATTCACAGGTACTTTATGCTTTTATGACATATCCAGGTACCTGTAAATAATATTCCTAAATAATATTTAATCCCTAAATAATAATATACCCCCAAATATGGCTTTTCACATTCTAAAAATCATTGGAAATGGAATACATATTAATCTTCTATAATTTCCTTCCAAATGTATTTCTGATGTTTATCTATTTAATACCTTTACCTCTAGTTCATTAGTCTTCATTGCAATAGAGGATTGGATGGCTGTATCACTCTTTTATTAACATTTATCCATTTTTCTGTTAATGGATGCTGGGGTCTTTGTGAATTTTTGGCTATTTAAGGTAATTCTGCTAATAATCTCTTTCCATGGCCCTTGTGAATATAGAGTTTTTCTGAGATATGGACCTTGCCACAGAATTGCTGGGCATAGACCACATGCTCTCTCTCAACTTTGTTACACAATGGCAAATGGCTCACAAAATAGGTCAAATAGCTGTACACTCCCATTTTTAGTATATCAAAATTTTCATTGCTCCCTATCTGACACAATACTTGGCATTCTCAGGCTTAACTTTCATTGATCTAATGGGTGTGATCATGGTTTTAATTTGCATTTCCTAGACTGCTAGTAAGGGTGAGCATTTTTTATATGTTTATTGGCCATTTGGGTTTCCTCTTTAGTACATATCATTTCCTCATTTTTTTCCTATTTGGTTAGTCTTTTACATTTTTTTTTTTTTAACACATTGACCACTCTTCTGCCCATCTCCATTCTGGATCCAGTGTTTTTGGTAGGTTTGGGGGGCTGCATGGTATAGCTGACATTATATGGGATAGGGTGTCAGAAGACTTTGGTCTGATTTCCAGCTCCCTCATTTAAAATTAGCTGTGTGACTTTCAAAACTAACTTAAATCCTCTGTGACTCAGATTCTTCACAAGTAATGAGGAACAATAGTAATAGCAACTTCTTGTTCTATGGGAAATAACAAATGAGATCATGCAGGTGACAGGGTTTGTAAGTTGTTATGCAAAGGATGATTGCCATTCCAGTAATTATTATCTGTCCTTGGTTATATCCTTCTCTAAAATCAGGACAGTCCCACCAAGATATTCCCACCATAGTCATAATCAAGACTGAGTATGAGTTTCTGAGTAGGCAGATCAAAGGTAGGAAGGTAACAAATGCCTCTAAGGCTTTCCCTAACTTTAATCACTGTTAACAACTCCCCAGCCCCCCAGCATGCTGTGCCAGAAATTCATAGGAGGAAAGAACTAAGCTCTGACGGTTCCCTGCCAGGTCTAGAGAGTAGTTATTTGAATTATAGTGATTAATGTTATCTATTTTTGAGTTTTAATGTGATCTTGCTATTTAGAAGCAGAATAAGAACTATTTGTGGTTCTCGGTAAGACTGCCTTTTAAAATTTATGGATCTTTTCCGCTCAGAGCAATTTTTCAAGTCATCAAGCAAGCAGTGATAAAGTGATATCTTTACGGAGCTACACAGAAGCTTTCTGAATGTAAAAGATGAGAGGTCAGTTATCACAGGATAAAACTAACAACTTGACAGTACTCAGCTGCTCACTTTAAAAAATGTATATAGATGCCTAGACATTGTGTCATGCCAAAATTGTTGTAGATGGATTTGTAAGCAAACATTTGCCTGTTCAGATAGAACTAATTGGGTAGGATATTTATAGACTTGCTGTATGAATGTCATTTACATGTTGTGAAATAAAAATATGAGCCACCTGGTATATGCCATCCGATGGTGCCGTGCCAAATCCTGGGATAGACTGGGCTTCAGAGCACAGAAAGAGACGTCATTAGGAAAATTGGCTCTAGCTCAAGCCCCGTTGGCCTATTTAAGAGGGAGAATTGGAAAAGAGTCACTTGATTTCTCCCTCTCTCAATTCATTCTTTTATAAAATGGGAATCAAAATATCTCCTCCATTTCCTTTTTGCCATGGCTACTGTGAGAATGAGATCACCCTTGTGAAAACACTTTTAATTTTACCAAAAAAAGGTCCTTCATAAAAATAAAATGATGCATTTCTTTTGGCAGCCAAGCATGCATTTTCATTGCCATGTTGCCTGCAATGTTACATTGTTTCTTATATGGCCATTTACTTTAGGCCCTATTGAGGCCAGATGTCTTAGGGCTACTGACCTGGGGCCTATGGGTCAAATTTGATGTGACTGATGAGTTTGGTGTCCCAAATAGGGCTGGTCTCATAAAGACCTGATTCTCAGTTATGAGATTTCAAAGTACAAGTGAAGGAGAATCAGGCTGATGAAGCAGAAGTTTAAAATTGCTGGCCTGTATAAGAATGTGTTCCAAGATAAATGGTCTCTCTCTTAGTCATGGAAACCAAAATACAATATTGGATATCTCTTGGGTTCTTCATCATTTTGGATAAAATAGGGCACTTTTCATAGAGCATTGCTTAAAATGGAATTATTTTTGTACCTCTTTCTTCTGCTCCCACATTCGTTGAGTCACTGTAGTATGCCGAAACTTCCTTTTTAGCCTCTGTCACTTACCACCTGCTGTCTACCTTCCTTAACCACCATCTTGGACCAGACTAGACTAACTTACTTCACATTCCATTCACATCCTGTAGTCATGGAAGTTCAAAATACTCAATCTTTAAACGTGTTGGTTAACACTCTTTACCAGTAGGCTTTCCAATTTATTTTTGTTTTCACTACCCTATAAACTTCCATTCTGTGATGCTGGTGTCTTTGCTGCCTACAATCTACAACTTGCTCCATGCCTTTTAGTTGAAGTCTGCTA